CCTTTTATTCTTTGCCTGAATAACCCCACCCCTACACTTTTTTCCTGGCCAATCATCCTTCAAGCCTCAGCTCAATTTATAGTAGAGAAAAGTTAGAACGATCTGAATGGACTGACCTAAGTAACATAATGGTTCAAGATAAATTTTGGTATAAAATGTTGGTGTATGCATGCAATAACATGTCATACAATGAAATATCATGCATGCTCATTTTAAATAACTTGAGTTTTTAATGACAGGAAAGAATGTAAAGTAACAATAATAAGATATACCAGCTCAAAAAAACAAAGCAAACTAACATAAATGTTTACAAAAATCAGACATCACATTTTGGAGAAGACTTAAAAATTTTTTTTTCTTTATTGATTTTAGAGAAAGAGGAAGAGAGAAGGAGAGAAAGATAGAAACACAGATGAGAAAGAATATTGATTGGCCGCCTCCCACCGGGGATATGGCCCACAACCTGGGCATGTGCCCTCACCCGGAATCGAACTGGTGACCTCTTGTGCATGGGTCGACGCTCAACCACTGAGCCACACTGGTCGGGCTGGGGAAGACTTTTTAACACTTCACCACCACTTTCCAAAGCATGTGTCCCCTATGACATAGTGCCTGTCATACAGCAGGTATTCAATCCAGTTTTACGGAATTATTTTTCTCTCTTGCTGGATATTCCAGCCTGGAGAGACAGGTACAAACGCCCTGTTTGAAGGAAGGAGCTCATGAGGAATACTGAAGGTTCCCCTGAACCCATCAAATACTGGTGAGACTTTAACATTCCCCGAAGTCGCTGCCCTCCACCCGTGACTGCCAAAGAGCAGGTGGTGGTGGGTGTCGAAGGCCCTTTCTACTTCGAGAAGAGTGGGCCTGGCTGGCTGAGGGGTGAGTGGCCACCCTGATGAACTGCTCCAACCAGTTCCCCGTCTTCCAGGCTCCATCCTGAACCCTGCACTTCGGATAAGTGTGCACTCGTTTCTTCAATCTACAGTCACATTTCCCCCAAGTGACCTGGCTGCCATATTGGCAAAGCCAAAGGATTAACCTCTTCCTGGCTTATTATCTTGGCCAAATGACCATGTGTTCCATCTCATCTTGGATTTCCAGTCTCAGGGGTTGCTTGCAAGGAATTCTCTAGTCCCAGGCATTCCATCTCCTGTGGCTAGTGCTCTCAGCCCAACACCCAATGGTCTCCCCAACACTCATGCATCTCAGCACCCTTTCTAGGAGAACACAGAATGTCAAGACTGACCACCTCTGTTTCCTGCTCCTCGGCAGCTCTGTAGTATCTTCTGAGCGTCTGGAACCTTCAGAGATTCCCTGCATGTGCCATCTCAGAGGGCCACCCCTGTTAAGGAAGTTTGGTCCTGTTTGGATCAGGAGTTGGAAGACTTTGAATCTTAACTTGATCCAAAGACCTTGATCAACTCTTTTAACTTCTCTAGGTCTTGCTACAATAGCAAAACAGATTGGGATCAGATAAAACCATGAACATGGATATACTGGGGGAAATGCAAAGTACCAGGGCCTTTTCAAGGGCCAGTCCTGTCTGCAGCTACAGAGGCTGGGAAGACAGAGTGACAAAACAGATGTGAAAGTGCCCAGAATGCAGTTACGAGCACAGTGCCAATTAAGGGTAATCTCTATATTACCACGAGTGAGGGGAAGTGAAAGATTCCCCTGGAGAATGTGAGTGACCCACAACATGCATTTGGAGCTTCCTGAAACCATGGTTGACTCCTGCTGTCTCTTCTCTCACCCCAGAGTTAGAAAGAGTTCTAAAATAGTATCCCTTTCGATAAAACCTAGGAATGTGGGCTGACGGTAGGGGAAGGAGGGGAATTATCACTTTATCAGGGCTGGGAATCACTTCTGAATAGAGTGAGAATGCCCTGTTCATTCTTCACTTAGCTAAAGGGAGTTTACGTCCTGAGTCCATGTTACCCATCCCACCCCTGCCCATTAAAACTGGTAGTTTGGGCTGCCTCTGGACACTTATTAAACATCACTTATTGAGCACCTACTGTGTACAAAGAGATAGGCACAACACATGATCTGCATCAAGGAGCTCACTTTCCAGCGGGAGAGGTGATCAAACAGATAAATACATTATAGGTGATTTGATGGAGGTAGCTCAGGGACCGTAGGAGCACAGAGGGAGATGCAGAATTCAGTTGGAGAGGACAGGGAAGGTTTTCTAGAGAAGATGAGCACTTTTTTGTTATCGTGTATTCGAGAGGCATTTGCTATCCTTCTCTATCACCTATTACTTAGAAATGGCCTCAGTGTATAAATCTTGGAGGCCATTGATTTAGCTAAATATATTGGCACAAGCCCTTTGTACTGTTGGTGTTGAATTTTACTAGTGTGAATACAACATTGTTCTTGGAACCTTTATGCACAAAACATTTTCCTCCATGAGCCAAAGATCAAATCAAGGTGCAAAAGAGGCAAAAGTCAAGAGTCAAATTCATTGTGTTGCTCCATGCAAACTCATCACCCATTCTTTTTTTTTTCTTTTCTTCACCTGAGGATATTTTTCCATTTATCATCAGATAGAGTGGGAGGAAGGGAGAGAGAGAGATAGTGAGAAACATTGATGTGATAGAGCCACATCAACTGGTTGCCTCCCTCATGACCAAACCAGGGCCGGGGACAAACCACAACCGAGGTACGTGCCCTTGACTGGAATTGAACCCGTGACTCATTGGTCCGTGGGCCGATGCTCTAACCACTGAACAAAACTAGCCAGGGCTCATCACTCATTTTTATCTGTTGTCATTCTCCTAACACCCCAGAGCAGATGTCTTCAAACTTTCCCCACAGCTCAAAGATCAGCACACCCCACTCATTTAGACAGAGGTCTCCACGTCAAGGGCTCCTCCTCAGCACACAGTGGGATTCAGACTTGATTTGGAACTATGCGTCTACAACCGACGGATGTGCTGACATTTTGTTTCTACCTCTGATGTGACACTTACTTTATTCCGTCTCATGGGATAGTTGTCTCTGTCACTGTCAACACCGTCACTAGACTAAGAGCTCTTTGAGGGGAGGGATGGGGCTTCATTCTGTTCTCCCTTCCCTGATAAAAAGCAGATGGCTTCTAAACTGGGTTGAGTGGAAGGGCATGGATGACAAAGTATGTGTAAATCCCAGGGAACACAAGTCACACCCTCTTTCCCTTAAAGTGAGGTCCTTGATCCATGAAGATGAAACTCCACCAGTCAGGAGAGATCATGGGAGATACTGGCATAGTGATATCAGGGAGCAGAGAACATGAGAGCTGGGGAGGGGGGGTCTTGGTGAAGATCAGAACATCTGAAGCAAGACTCAAACAAAGAAAAGGGTGAGGACAGAAAAGGTGGAGGAAAAAGTACCGTTTGTATATGGGGGGGGCGGTGTAGGTGGTGTGATGGAGGCAGTGATATCAGGTAGGATGACATGGTGCTTTCTTTGGTGACCCCGAAGTACCCCAAGATGCTGCTCTGTCCTCTCCTATCCTACATCTGTACAGCACCGAGGGGGCCTGGTTTCCTGTTTTCACTCTTCATTCTTCTTTCTTAGAGCGGAGACAGGTAGCAATGTGGAGCTGGGGGTGGGCTGGAGGGTCAGAGTGGTTGAGCGGAAGGTGGATGGCGATCTTGACCCAGCCCTAAGTGCCCTCACTTGCCCGCTGCGTGTATTACTGTATTCCTGGCCTTTGTAAGCTTCACCTGGTCACCTTCCTGCCAGCCTCAGGTCTCAGGGCTGAAGCCCTCCCAGGAAGCAGCTGCCAAACCAGGCAGGGCTTTATATGAACACAAGGAATTCCCTACGGACGGCTGGGAAACACTCACAAGCTTAGATGACATGTTTTATCCATAACACAGATTAATTCATTGCTAGGTATATCCAATCCCATTTATATACTAGAGGAACATTCTTTTTTTTTTCTTTTTCAATTACAGTTGACATTCAATATTATTTTATATTAGTTGCAGGTGTACAGCATCATGGTTAGACATATGTAATTTATGAAGGTAAAAAGGGATTAAGGAGTACAAATTGATACTCACAAAATAGTCATGGGACGTAAAGTATAGCATAGGGAATATAGTCAGTAATATTGTGATAACTATACATGAGTCAGGCAGGTAGTAGACTTCTTGGGGGGATCACTTTGTAAATTAGAGAGGAACATTCTTTATCTGGGTCTTCCAAACTTGATTCTTACTGATTTCTTTCTCCTTTTCTATTGTGGGTCCAAGTGAACATACTGAAACCTTTATTTCTGTTCCCTTCGTGTTCTAGGGCAGACTGACCCAAACTCTTCTCTTGAATTCAGCCCTAATAAGATGGTTCTTTGTGTGGCACAGCCCCTCATGGTTGACAGTTTCTCTCTATATTTGTGACAACAGGATGAAAAGAAAATGGATTTTAGAGTCAGAAGAATCTCATTTCAAATCTTGCCACTGCCACACACGACTGTGGCCTTGACATTGTCAGTAAGCTCCTCTCTCTTCTTCTGTCCTTACTGTTTCAGGGGAATAATTACACCCCCGCTCAGGGTCATGGGTAGGAGTTGATGCTGTGTGTATGAGGCAGCTTGCCCAGTGGCTGGCACATGCACCTGTTCAATAAATAGATCGCTGTCCTGCTGGGTCCTTCTGCACATTCCATGCTGGACCCTCTGTGCCCAAGGAAACATCTAGGGCGTTAAGGCCACTCAGCCCAGCAGGAGAAAAAGACCCAGGAATGTGATGTGGAGTCCTGGCTCCCTCTTATTTCTTGAGGCCTGGAAAGACTGACATGAGACCTCTAGCTTCTGGAGGTGCCAACCACCAAGAGCAGCATGGCTCTTGTCTACAAGCTCCCTCTAGCAGGTGTGAATGTTTCATCCTTCCTCTCGGGTTTACAATGATCTCCTCCGTCTCTGTCACTGCCCTTGGTGTACCACTTCCCCCTGGGGTGCAGCTCACTTCTCCCCTCCACCTCCTTCTTCTTTCCACTGTGATGACATCGCTCTGGGGAAGAGAGCTGTGCTGGGCTCCTCACTCTCAGCTAGCTTCAGTTTCCTTATTGGAACCATGACATCATCTCTACCCTGGAAATTCCACTTGCACCCCTGTGCTCCCACCTCTGTCTCAGGCCTCAGAGGGCCTATAAAGAGGGGATCCCAGCTCGGTATCAGCACAGAGCACAGTCGGGTTCTGAAGCTCCTGGGTTCTCTCGTCTCAGCTCTGGGAAAGCCTCTTCTCCGCTCAGACCATGAAGCTCGGCGTGACTGTCCTCTCTCTCCTCGTGCTGGTGGCTGCCTTCTGCTCTCCAGCACTTTCAGCACCAAGTAAGTTTGTTGTTTCAGCTACTACTTCAGAGCCGTGGTGTAGGCAGAGTCCACTCTCCTAGCTGGGGTCGGTCCAACAACGGCCTCCGGGGATGGGACGAAAGGGAGCTGGGAGGGTTTCTAAGTAGTCTGCTGTTAACTGTGGTGTCTACTAGACATTCAGTAATATCCAAGTTCTTGTTTGCTTAAGAAATAGTAAGCAGTAGACTTGTTTGAGAAAATCCCTGTCTCTATGTCTTGGTTTCTTCATCTGTTAAATGGAACTAGAGGTGTACTCTGAGACCCAATCCAGCTCCATGATCTGCTCTTGGGATCCTGTATTCAGAAAAAGACTCGTACTCAGGGTGGGAGGGATTGGATACATGGCACTATATTCGGGCTCTGATAGCTCCACAGAGATGCCCCTTGAATATCCATAACTAAAAGCCAAGAGAGCAGCTCCTTATAGAGCTTGGATCTCACCTCGCCTTCCTTTCCAGTGGGCTCAGACCCTCCCACAGCCTGCTGCTTCTCCTACATCCTGCGGAAACTTCCTCGTGACTTCGTGGTGGATTACTACGAGACCAGCAGCCTTTGCTCCCAGCCAGCTGTGGTGTAAGTATCGACCTGGGCTGCTCTGGGGGGCAAAGGTGAGGGCAGGATCAGATGAGGGGCCTGTTTGGGGCAGGGAGAGGATCAAACAGGAGGGAGACAGGTCTGAGGGCTGAAGCCTTCCCAGACAGCAGTAAGGAACAAGGTCATGAAGTCACCAGTTAAGTCGTGGAAGGGGCTGGGAGGGAGTCAAGGGATAAGATGTATGTGTGGCCGGGGGGGGGGGGGGGGGGCAGGGGAGGAAATTAGTCAGAGGCTAGGAAACCAGGGAAAGTAAAAAAGATCACAAGAAATGCAGGCTGATTTCTTATACCATGCTTAAAAACACACATGGGAAAGTTATTGCTGGGGCACTAAGGAATGAATGGGGAGATATAGCCATATGATTGTAAAACTCATTGGTTCCTAATCTGGGAACCAAGTTAACTGAGGCCACATCTAAATCTAGGGTGGAAGTTATAAGGCGTTTGTTTCCAGTACCATCCGAGAGGGTCTTCCCACCCGCTAGAGCTGTCCAACATGGACTGTGGCCAAGCAGAGGGAGGTATCTACCACAGACAAGGTCTCATGCGATTCTAATCGATCCACTCTTCCTTCCACAGATTCCAAACCAAAAAGGGCAGACAGATCTGTGCCAACCCCAGTGAGTCCTGGGTCCAGGAGTACATCAATGACCTGGAACTGAACTGAGCCGCTCCAGACACAGGGGCAGGAGCTCTCCTGGGAAGATCACCTGAGCCCAACACTTCTCAGGGAGACGCACCCTCTCCACGTTCACAACGCCTCTCAGTTGTCCCCATTCCTTCCCCTAATTTAATCTTTATTATGTGCTATTATTGTATTTGATGTTCTTTTCATAGTTTATGTTGGTTTTACCAAGGGACACATGTCCCCCATGGGGATGGTCCGCCATCACTTTTCTCTGCTTTTGCGGATACATGAGTAATGCAGTTGGTTCTGTGTGTTTTCATAATAAAACTTAAAAATATATACAGAAAGTTTCTTTGTGTTTTCATTTGATTTGATGCAAAAGGAATTGACTGGTATTATTAATAGGGACAAACTACCATTTCCAAACACAATAAGAATGAGCAATTACTGAAGACATTATATGGGCTAAATCCGCTAAAGCCATAATCTCACTTAACACTTTCAACAGGGATTTTAACACCCTTAGCAAGTTGGGACTTTTACCTCCAATGTTACAGATGAGGAAACAGAAGCACAAAGGTGATGTGACCTGTGAGGGCTTGTAGGTCTGTTTGGAGAGCAGCGTGGAAGGGTGACCCAAGAGGATAGCTGTGATACGAAGGGTTATCATCTCCACATCTGTGAGCGCTGTTGTAAATAGCAGCAGCAGTACAACACAGAGGGAAGATGAGGTAGCTCAGAGTCAGGAAAGTGGCCCTTCCTTCATCACTTATTATCAGCATATTACTGGGAATGTCACCTTGCCTTACTGGACCTCAATTTCCACACCTGTAAAGAGGGCTGTTAGGAGTTGATTGTGAAGTATCCATCACAGGGTCTGACAAATGGAAGTCTCTCTTTCCCTCTCTGAGCCTTAGCTTTTCCACTTACAATGGGCTAGCTGCCTAATGTCATCAGGTGGATTTGATGAGTTAACGGATCAGCTCTCTAAAGCCCAAAGCAGAGATGGAGTGTTATTGTGAGGACAGAAGAACAAATGTCAGATTTGCTTCTGGAGTGTTGTGGGAGTAACCTAAAGCCAAGTCTCCTTAATAACCCTTCGATCAAACTTCCTATTACATGAGTCAGAACAGGGCTCTAAGGGAGAATTGCATGCACAGTCAAGCCTTGATCTACAGAACACAGAATTACAGTCTATTAAAGCTGGGAGGAACCTCTCAGACCATCTCGTCCAACCCTCTCATATTATGAAAACTGAGGGCCAAGGACTGAGAAGTGACTTGCTAAAGGCCACGCAGCAAATGTGAGATAGAGCAGACTCCAGCCAGTGCCAGGTCCCACATTAGTCCCCTTTTCTGTGCTCCCTGTGACATGCCTCCATGGTGCCAAAAAGGACAGCCCATTGTGAGGGGGGAAACCTTGAAAAACATTTGAGTGTTCTTAGTCCAATGCAAAAGCAGAACTGGGACTCCGCGGTCAAACAGACACAATTCCCTTCTTTGCCTCTCCCTCAGCCACCCCATCATCCCAGAGACCCAGTAGAAACCCCCTTTAGATTCCACAGGGACTGAGAGAAGGAGATTGGGGGTAGAGCTGATCCAAAAGGGTGTGAGAAGAGGCTAGCAAAAAAGAGCCTGGCTGGTCTTGCCTTCTGCTTTTTGTCTGCCTAGATCTGAGCTATTCCGTATGTTAGTCACTAGCCTAACTATATAAATTAAATTGGCTATATAAATTAAATTAAATTAAATTAATAATCCAATCAGTTGCACTAGTCATACTTCAAGTGCTCCCTAGCCACATGTGACTAGTGGCTCGCTCCCTGATGGACTGCAAAGATATAGAACATTTCCATCATGGCAGAAAGCCCCATTGAATGGCACTGCCCTAGGGCCTAAAGGGAATGAACCGAGGAGGAATTGGGGTGGCCTGAAAGGTTAGGGTGCGGTCTTTGGCAAAAAATACTCAACTCTATTCTGAGGGGAGTGGTTGGGAGAGAGAATGGATGACCCCCAAGCCTGAGACAAGGTATAGATTACCCACAGCAAGTCACCCAAATGTCCGAATCCCAAACCCCAGAACCTATGACTATTACCCTATATGGCAAAAAGGACTTTGCAAACGTGATCAAGTTAAGGATTTTGAGAGGGAGAGATTATCCTAGATTGTCTGACTGGGCCCTAGAAGTAGTCATACGTGGCCCTCAGTGAGGGGTAGAGGGAGATTTGATGACAGAAGACAAGAAGGCAATGTGACCCCTGAAGCCAGAGGCTCCGCTGCTGGCTCCGAAGGCGGAGGGAGAGGCCTGGCGCTGGGGAGCGAGAGCGCAGCGGGAAGCCGGGGCAATGGTCTCGCCCCTGGAGCCTCCAGAGGGAAGGCAGTCCTGTTGACACCTTGGTTCCAGCTCAGTGAAACAGATTTTGGACTTCTGGCCTCCAGAACTTTCAGAAAATAAAATATGTGCTGTTTTTAGAACATCAAGTTTGCAGGAATTTGTTACAGCAGCAATAGGGAGTTAATACAATCACCAGCTATAGAGTCACTGACAACCCTGGCTGGTCTGGCTCAGCGGTTACAGCGTCAGCCCGTGGGCCAGAGAGACCCGGGTTCGGTGTCCGCTAAAGGCACGTACCTCTGGTGCAGTTTGTCTCTGGCCCTGGTTGGGGTTATGTGGGTGGCAACCAGTCGATGTCTCTCTCTCACATTGATGTTTCTCTCTCTCTCTTCCTCCCTCTCTCCCTCCTGCTCTATCTGAAGATAAAAAAAAAAAAAAAAAGAGTCGCTGACAGTGGTTCCCTCCAGCTCAGTGTGAAAGTAATGGCACATTCTGGAAGGTGAAACAAACTTCCCTGAGAGAGAAATTCAGGGTGAAATGGATACATTCTGAGGCGATGGACTATGATGTGAGACATCTCAAGAAGAGAGTCCGTCAGCAGCTGAGAATGTGTGCTGCGGCCTGGGGCTTCAGGAAAGGTACCAAACCCATCAGGCAGGTCAAGAGGAAGCCCCTCTCTTCCTGAGACCCCTGTGGCCCTCTGAGGGTGGGCAGAACCTTGGATTCCCATCTGGAAGATTCTATCATCTCCTAGCTCTACACCCAAGTGTCCAAATTTCAAAGGAACGTGACATGAAGTCCAGAGCAGAGCTGTGACCTGTTTCTGGCTTTATTATTAGAGAGGGGGCAGGGTTAGGGCTAGAATCTGGGTCTCTCCCTCACAGGGGAATCTTCTTCCCCACACCTCCCTGCCCCCGAGCAGACGAGAAGGGAGGAACTCAGTTCCACAGAAGCTGAATCACCAGGGACGGCTGCAGGAGACCTGAAGACCCTCAGGAAGAAATGCTTCACCCAGCAATTATCAGCGAAAACACGGAGTCCTCGCGGTGGGGCAATGTGGGACTTCACCTGTTGCACAATATGTGACTTCGGTTTTTTCTTTTCTGCTCTTCTCACAAAACTTCCTTTTCTTACCCTGAGGCCAGGGAGCCAGTATCTCCTTACTAAACTTTTCAGTTGAGGTTTCTCTGGGTTTCTGGGAGGGGCCAGAGCCAGAACAGGACAAGGGACAGAAGCTACTGTTGGTGGAGCAGCTTCTGGAAGTCAGGCCGGTGTCTTTCTTCACCTGTGTAACTATTCCACAGGGTAGCTCTGAGATTTAAAAGCAATAACCTTGCCCTGGCCGGTTTGGTTCAGCGGTTGGAGCGTCGGCCTGCGGTCCTGAGAGACCCGGGTTCGGTTCCCGCTGAGGGCACGTGCCTCGGTTGCAGTTTGTCCCCGGCCCTGGTCGGTTGTGCGGGTGGCAGCCACTCGATGTGTTCCTTTCACATCGATGTTTCTCTCTCTCTCTGTTCCTCTCTCTCCCTCCCACTCTACCTGAACAAAAAAAAACAACAAAAAAATAAAAAATAATAAAAGCAATAACCTTAGCACCTGCCTGACAAATGGCGGGAGCTCAGAACTTGGTGTTTGTTCCCACAGTGACTATATATCTTTCAGGGAAGCAGTTCATGCATAAGGTTGGTAAATCCTTCTAGACTCCATATAGAGAATAAATACAAACTACTATTTTTTTTCAAATACATGTGGAACTTGTATGCAATACAATACAGAGCAGTTTAACAGCGTCACTGGATCAACGGGGTACTACAACCATCATGGGGGTTGCCTAACATTGCTTACATTATAATGGTCCTCTCGGAGCAATTTGAAAATATGAATCAAAACACTTAAAGGTGTACATGGCCATGGGTTTGAATGGAGCTTGTCAATGCGCCTCTCAGCGGAGACCACGGTTAAAACAGAAGGTCTACAGCAGCTCAGGGATTCCATTTGAGATTTGTGAGACTCCAGATATTCTGGTTTTTCACAATCACATGAGGATGCTGCTTCCTCTTGATGAAGGGCATCTTCAGAATCGAAGTATATCTGGCTCCCATGCTCCCAGGTTCTTTCCTGCTATTTATTGGGTACTGGCTGTGGTGCCAGTTCTAGGCAAGTGGCTCACACTGGGATCCCACTGATCTGTAATAGGTATTTCTTCTTCTTTTTTTAAAATCCTCACCCAAGTGGGAGGGTGGGAAAGAGAGAGAGAGAGGGATACATTGATGTGAGAGAGACACATCCATCGATTGCCACCTGCATGACCCCAACTGAGGCCCGGGATGAACTGCAACCGAGGTACGTGCCCTTAGCGGAAACCGAACTTGGGTCTCTCTGGTCCGCAGGTTGACGCTCTAACTGCGGAGCCAAACCAGCCAGAGCAAAGGCAGATATTCTTAATCCCAGTTTATAGAAACTGAGGCTCTGGGAGCTTGAGCAATTTATACAAGACTACAGAGCTAGGAAAAGGTGAACACCGAATCTAAACTAAGTCTGATTCCCAAAGAAATATTTGAAAAGATATCTCCTCACTGCTGCTGCCAAGTCTCTGTGGACCAGCAGCCGTGCTCACCCACAAACAGGACAATGATGACAGCTCCAGAAACAGCTGGCCCATGGCCTCCTCGGGATGGGGCTGTGTGGCCCTGACTGGGGGAAAGAGGGGAATTTGTGGAGAAAGCCTGCTCGGCCAGCCAGAGATGGGGGAACCCCACTGGGATAGAGCTGGCCTATTCTAGTTGAGCTTTTCAGAGAACAGGAAGAGATGGGTCTGAGTGGGAAGGAATGGTCTCAAGTGGGGAGCTTGACCACGAGAGTGAGTCAGATCATGGTCAGCAGCCGCCACCTCAGAGCATGCCATATGCAAAATTGTTGGGTTGTGTGTTGTTAAAATCTGTACATCTTGAGAAAAC